TTCGGGTCCTTGGTCGTCGTCCTCCCTACTCCGCACGAGGGTGGACAATTGGTACTCCGCCAGGATGGAAAAGAGTGGACAATCGACTTCACGGACAATTTTGCGAATGCCAAAGTTCCCTCCGCTTGCTACGTCGCCTTCTACAGTGACATCGAGCACGAGGTCTTGCCCGTCACGTCGGGTTATCGTGTCACGTTCACGTACAATCTCTACCGTCTCCCTTTCGAAATCACTGCATCGCCTATTCCCACTCCACAGCATCTGAACCTCAAACAAGCTCTTGTCGATCTAATCAATGACAAGAATACACTTCCGAAAGGAGGGTACCTGGGATTTGGTCTTGTCCACGAGTATGTCCACACTGGCCGCAACGTCCTCGATCCTCTCTTGGATCAGTTGAAAGGATCTGACCGTGCACTTGCGGACGTATGCGACGCACTCAACCTCCCGTATACTCTTCGATTGCTTTATCGCGGTATGTTAAAGTGGTACGAGGGATTACACCTCATTACTACTGAGGAACTTGATGCGCCGGAGGGCCATTCTATGTACGAGGACTCCTCTTCCATTCAGCAGCTCGAACAGACTCTCAAAGACTCGGAGCTAACCATTGAACAAGCCGAAGTAGTCGAACTCGTTGGCAACGCCAATGCATTCGACCCTGTTATCTTGGACCCGGAAGAGGAAACGTCCTTGTCGCAATTTTGCAAGAATCCCCCGACGCAGGTGATGGAGATCACCCGGATGAAATCGTCTGTGGACTACACGAGCGCGTTTATGGCATATGGTAACGAGGCGGAATTTGGTCATTTTTATGGAACCGCGTGCATGTTGGTTGCTGTAGAACCTGCAACATCGCGAAAACCGCTCGCAGTGTAAGACAAGAGTTTATGAGCGTGTGCTCCGTTTTACGATAAGTGTCCTCTGTCTTACTGCGTCTTTGTAATGTTACACATCAACGTTCGACCTCTGACGAGTGGCCCAGGAAAGCATCGAGAGTGACCAAATGCAATGGCCAACAGGCAACGTGGCCATCATTGACAGCTTGCATTTCCATAGATTTCAATGGCCGAACTACAGAGAGCATAATACAAGACATTGACTACTGTACAACACCATTACAAAACAGTCGAGAGTTATCCAGCATTTCAGACTCAGGGAGCAGCAGGCGTTGTGGTCGGAACCGGTTCTTCTGGACCCTCCTACGCAAATGATCAACAGTGTGGCAAGGACTGGGCGTGGCAACACGTACGTCTAGCTCGACACCATCATCGTCCAAGGGATACCATGGCGGGAACGTCATACACCAACTAGGAACGCACTCAACATTGGCGTCCCTACGAATCGAGATGTATCACTCACTAAGATTCAGGCTTTGGGTCTGCGGGAAGGACGTCTCTCAACAGAGCCCGGATAAGAGGCAACTTTTGCCGGAGGGTGAAGACGGGGGCAAAGCACAGTTCCCCATTCTGGTTTACGTCCGTTTTGAGATAGCCTGGCTCGCAACCCTGGGTCCACCATTTGAGCTCGGAGCGTGTCTCACTCGAGGCGCCTGATGTCGTCTTTTCTGATCCTATAAGTGAGAGCGTGATATGCTCGCTGTCTACGTGGAACCGATGTGGCCAGCCATATTGAGCAGTCTTCAGAACAAGCATGATGAAATGGACATACTTGTTCCAGAGAGGTATCGAGCATAAGCCGAGCAATGAACGGCTTTCGTGATGAGGTGTTTGTGTTTGAGCAAAGGGATCTTGTAGAGCTCCTCGAGGACCGGACCCGGCAAGACCTGTTCGCGCGGCTCGTGCATGAACACGAGCGAACACGAATGACCTTTCTGGAACCACCACTGGCCTTTCGTCGATGCCGAATCGACACCCTCAGGACTAGGCGATCATGGCGATACCGTTAGCGATTCACAAACGGCTCGAGCACTGGTGACACTCACGTATCTGAAGGGACTTTAAACTCCTCCTTCTTGCGAACCCACATGGAGTTCAGGATGGGTTTGATCTCTGTGTTGCTGTATTCGAGAGGATAATCAGCGATCTTGATCCCATGGCCCTCATCGACGAGTTTCTGAAACTCAGGATCATAGACGTTTCCCTCAACGTCCAGCGAGCCTGTTTGGGCGTTGATAAGACCGTACGAGCCGACCTGTCGTGGATCGGGCCAATTGACGGCTGGCGCTCGCGCGAACTGGGCTGTAGGCGCACCTTTGGGGCTTGAGCGGGGTCCCAGACGCCCCATCGAGAGAAATTGACGTTGCAAAGATCGGCGTAGCGGCGCGGTGCGAGTTCGGGACTCACTGGCATGATGGCGGGTGGAAAGGATGATAATGGGCAGAGGTGGTTGGAGCAGTGAACTTTTTATAGACGGCGTAGCGCTCATGATATCATACTGGGCCTCATGGCTTCCCAGGTTGCCATCAAGACTTGGGCTAGGTGTCGTGGTGGCTTGACAAGTTGTTCGACGTGGTTGTTAGTTGTTGATCATGTACCACCTCCTCAAGGGTCTCCACGAATACCTAACTCGGTGAGTGCCCTCTTAGCGACCTCCATCTTATCACTGAACGCCGCAGGAAAGAAGAGTTCTCTATCATCATAATTGGTCTTGATGGTGCTGGGAAAACAGTGAGTCTGTTGCCGCCACGTCGCATGCTCACCCGATAACCTGTACGGACATAGACGTTGCTGGAAAAGATCAAGACGCTCTACAACGACACGCCTGGTCTCGAGCCATCAAAGATAGGACCGACGGTTGGACAGAACAGTACGTCCGCCCGAGACTCATCGCGTTTTCTCACATCCACTCTGATCAGCGGGGAAGGTGTCACTACCGTCGACAGTTCTCAACTTTTTCGACCTCGGCGGTCAAAGGGGCATCAGGTCGATATGGCACCGTTACTATGAGGACTGTCACGCTGTCGTGTACGTGATTGATGCGCAGGACAGGGAACGACTCGGGGAAGGGTGGGATGTATTCGGTGCGTCCATGTCGTTGCAATGTCGTGTTCTGCGATTGACAGCCGTCCATATGTTTTCATACTGTACGTTCACTGACAGACACCGTCCTTTCTTCTCCACGCATCCTCAACGTCCCCCTCCTCCTTCTCGCAAATAAACAAGACACGCCCACGAGCATGTCTGCGACTGAAATCCGACAGGACTATGAAGCATGGGATCACCATCGACGGGACAGCGCGCGGAGGCGGTACGCGGAGGAAGAAGGCGAAGAAGAAGAACGGAAGAAGACACGGATTGCGAGCTTGGAGGTGTTGGGTGTCTCGGCATTGGAAGGGTACGTGCCACTGCTTCAGTCTCCGTTCCATTGAGCATATGGTTCGTGCAGACAGGGTGTACGTGAGGCGGTCGACTGGTTGTTTTTGCGCGTCCAGAATAGTCGACAGTGAGTTTGATTTCCCCTTGTTTCAGGAATACAGCAAACTATCGTTGCAGAGACCTTGGTGACCGTGCGACGAGGGCAGGTTGGAGGACAGGATGACATGTTAACGATTGTCTGCCTGAGGGTCTACTTACGGGGGACTATGACGATACTTTTGTATACTCGGGTTACTAGTTCAGGGGCTATTTTGTACAGCCACTTGTTGAGTGTCCAAACAAACTAAGCGAAGAGACTTTGCTTGCTACCATCAATCGCAATGGGGTACTACACGACGTACTACTCCATCGGCCTTCCCTCGTTCCTAGTTGTAGTCATTGCTCTTTACCTCTTATTCACAGGTCGGTCTCAATCTAGCTCTACTTCCGACGTGTCACTGACTTCATGACGCCGCAGGCTCGGGCGAAGCATTCAATGTCGGTCGCTTTCTCGAAGAAACCAGTCCCTTTCTCTGGGGCTCTCTCGGAATCGGTCTTTGTATTGGTCTCAGCGTTCTCGGAGCTGGATGGTATGTTGTTGCCGGTCAGGAATATTCCGCCACAGCACGGCTGCTGACGTGCTTCGTTTCGCGCAGGGGCATTTTCTTGACCGGATCTTCGATCATCGGTGGAGGTGTCCGGACGCCACGAATCAGCACTAAGAATTTGATTAGGTTCGTCAGGACCCTTTTCGTACCACTGTCGTATCCTCATCCCGTCTAGTATCATCTTTTGTGAAGTCGTGGCCATTTACGGGGTGGTGCGTCAAGCAAACCGATTCGCCCTGGTCCTAAAATGAACCCACATGACTTGACAGATCCTCGGCATTGTCTATTCCTCGAAATTACAAGCTGTACCCGACGCAGAGCTCTATACGCGCCAGAACTACTACACTGGTACTTTATCCCCCGCAGTTTTGAGATTCGGTGTGTTGATAATCCATTGACTTGCAGGCTATGCCCTCTTCTTTGGTGGACTGACGGTCGGTATGTGCAACCTGTTTTGCGGTCTCTGTGTTGGCATTGCAGGTAGTACGGCCGCCCTCGCGGACGCTGCTGACCCCACGCTGTTCGTCAAAGTCCTCGTCGTGGAGGTATTTGGAAGCATATTGGGCTTATTTGGTTTGATCGGTGAGTTTCGTCCGCGTCACTGACGTACTACGCTTCTTTATCAACGTGACTGACTGGGTTTTGTCGACAGTGGGATTGCTGATGACGTCGAATGCACAAGAGTTTATGCCGGGTACGCCGGTGTGGAGTACGGCTGCTAACGCAGCCGGCTCCCGTGCTGTGTACTAGGTTGTATAGATGAATTCACTGCGTCATAATCATACATGCATGTGCAGATGCGCCGACTATGTGAGCGTGTCAGAATCGTCGCTAAACACCATGATTTTATCTCAAACCCACCTAACTCTAAACGATTCCCGTTCATTCCAAACATGACATCTCCCGGAAGCGACTTGCATCATTCGTGATGATCATCTCACTCTGAATCACGCCTTTCAGTCTCTTGTAACTTGGATTATGAGTCGGAGTGATAGTTGTATCTCACGTTATAGTATAAGTATGGATGGTTTGAGATCTTGGCGGATCTGGCGATGGTTTCCAATATTAAAAAAATTGGATGCGCAGGGGATTGAACCCTGGACCTTATACATATTCACTCAGCTAAGGAGTGGTTGCAAAGCATACGCGCTACCACTGCGCTACGCACCCATGGGAGTTAATCGATCCTCGACGTGTAGATACCGTTGGACCTACACGAAGTGCTAACAGACCAGCTGCAAGAAAAGCACTCCAAGCATTATCTCTATCGCTCAGAGAACAAACCATGTAGTGGTATGTATGTACCAATGAATATAAATCGCCCACACGGTGATGTCCACAGTCTGGTCACCAGACTCATCCACGCCTCCTGCGTCAACCAAGATGTAAAAGGGAGAAGACACGTCTCATAACCTTTTCATGTCTGACAATTCTATAAAACTCGTCAGATTATCGTGAGTGAACTCGATGTGGTGCGAGGACGCTGGGTTATTGGTGCCGTGCCAACGCTGGTCTCTCCCAGACGGCACGGTGTTGGTGCGTCTCTCTGACGAAGAGTGGACGATGAGCTCCGACTGTGGTTGCGATCGAAGGCTCCGAAGGTTCAGAACGACCCGTTGACCAGTGACAGTTAGCAATGGAAGACCGAGCCTGTATCGTGGTCAGGTAAAAGAGGTCATCACCGTGATCCTCACGTACCCCATCGACATCTGGGCGCGCGGGTCCTGTGGGGGCATTTGGTGAGCGCTCCAACAACATGACCTGGCTGCCTCACGTCTACAAAAACGGTCCTGAGAGGATGTGAGACACCGTACAAAGATCGATCGATAGAACTCACTGGCATACGATGGTCAACATTCCGGTGACAATACTGATCTGTACGGGGTATAAGCGGGATGATCCAGCATACTCACATAGCAACGTACAAAGAAAAATAGGAACGCTAAACGAGAGATCAGTTCGCGCCAGACTAAAAGATTGCGTGCGCTGACCGTCTCTAGACAGAACACGGTAAATCGGTGAATGTCGGAATCGGGTTGCTTTGAAACGTTTGGCGAGGGGATATGCTACCATGACAAACGTGAAGGCGTCGAGAGACAATCTGCCGTGCTGGTTAGTGCTGCTAGACATTCTGATTTGAGTTCACCTACCCTGCTAATGGCACGATCCACTGCGGTCAAGCAGAAAGGAGTTTGAGTGGTAGGCTATAATCAAATAAAGTCGAAGAAAGGTAGCCTCACAGTTTTTGCTGCGGATCCCATTCAGATTACCAGTTGCGTTTAGCAATTTTTGGAAAAAATGGGTGTGGAAAGTACTACTCACGAGCTCCCCGAGGAGTACAAACGCCTGTACCCTCCATGACTAACAATCCGAGTGCTATTCCAAATTCAGTTGCGCGTCTCCGATGAGATATATATATTACGCACGTTGTGTGAGAGTCATCACCATTGTAAGGAGCGCTAACCCAATGCATACTGCGAGGTACAGAACATAGACGCAAGTTAATGCAACCACGACACGATAAGTGCAGCCCCAGATGGCCCATGCTCGTAGTATCACCAAGACTATGTTTTTGGTGTCATAAAACGCACGTTGAAGGAAGGAAAGAACCTTACTACGGATGGATTCCCCAGAAAGGATTCCAAAGAAAGCAACATACCACTGGAAATAAAGGCAGAACTGCAGTATGCTTGAGAGACCTTGAATATGCGGACACGGGCGAAGAAAGTACCTTTGGGGAGCTGGTACTGAAGAGATCGAGTTGCTGGAGCGTATAAAGGGACTGCCCGACCAAGGTGCCGTAGCGGTTGAAAAGAAATATGGCCTTCACCACAGTCCATCGTGCATCCCATATGTAGCTCAGCTTGAAGCCAACTCTCAGAAAAGGTGCCTTGTGAAAGAGCGAAGCACATACTTCGTAATTAAAAGTGAGAAAGTAATCGTAAACTAGTAAACTCTGGCCCGCAACAGCAACAAGCCTGAGTGATTCAACAATATTAATGTTGGGAAACCCAGGATGAAAGTGAATGGTACTCACTGGCGGATGAACAATCTAGTATCCAGTTGGAACGACTCCATCCTGCAGGAGAATGGGTCACAGTAAATGACTGCAAACACAACATTTCAGTCGTGCATAAATCACGCAAAGTTGAAACAGGTACTGAACTGCATCAGTCCCATCGCAGGGGGTGTCAATGACCAATTACATACTTAGGCACGGCCCGGGTGATCTCTGAGGTGAGATGGGTGGATCCGTGACGTGGCATTTGGATGGTTTGACTCGGATGAATGACACGACGCCCGTTGAATTCGACACTCTTACGACTGTAAGTTGCAAAGCAATGCAGAAAACGCGCTTCGAATTTTGTGTTATGTACCAAATCAAGCTAGTGTCACTCAGGCTGTGACTCGACTGTGACAAGGATTTGCCTCCGTACCAGGAACAAAAAGGAATCCTCAGTACTCTATAGAAGCTTTACCTCTATCAATTGGTACAACGATGCTTTTTTGTACTGTCGAATTGCTGGAGAGCAAACTATCTAGTAATATATGTATACGAATTCCCGCAAGCCATCAGATCTGCAATGCGATATCCCCCCTCATGCTTTGTCAGCCAAACACAAAGAGGCCGCCTGAGGGGTACTTCATGCCAGTGACATTTCATACCCTTTTTATGTCCGACAATTCTATACCGCTCGGAGACTCCTCATGTCTAAACTCGATGCAGTGTGAGGCCGTTTGGATATCACGGGTGTCCCAACGGCCGTCAGGCGGCATAGAGTCAAACCGTCTCTCTGTGGTCCGGTGGATGATGATCTCCGACCGAGATTGCAATCGAAGCCTTCGGAGGTTTAGGATGACTCGTTGACCACAGACAATCACAAATGGGAGGATCCTGTATCCTGCGGTCAGATATAGGATGTCATCACCGTAGTCATCACGTACCCCATGAAAATCTGGCTGCGCGGGTCCTGCAGTGATTTAAGCTGAATGCTCCAAATACGTGAACCGGCTATCTTACATTGATAAAAACGGTCCTGGGAGGACGAGTGTGAGCCACCTACAGCAACGACCTGCAGAGAGAACTCACTGAGTTACGACGGTCAACATCCCGGTGGCAAGGATCGCCTGTATGGTGGCATCAATGGGACGATCGTCTAATATACACGCATAGTAACGTACAAAGAAAAATAAGAACGCTGAAGGAGAGGTCAACTTGCGCTAGACTAAAAGACTGCATGTGCTGACCATCTCTATACAGAACACGATAAATCGGTGGTTGTCGGAGCTGTGTTCCTTTTTTTAAGCGCTTGGCGAGGGGATATGTGACCATGGCAAGCGCAACAGCATCGAGACACACTCTGCCGTGCTGGTCAGTGCGACTACATAATCCTGCTTAGAGTTCACCTACCCCGCCACAGGCACAACCCACTGCGATCAAGCAGACGAGGGTTTGAGTTGTTATCTCAAAGCGGTCAAATTAGGGGAAAGGTAAACTCACAGTCTTTGCTGAGTGTCCCGTTAGCGATTACATAAAGAATAAGTAGAGCACAAAAAAGTACTCACGAGTTCCTTGGGGAGTACATATGCCTGTACCCTCCACAACAATCAACCCAAGTGCTGTTCAAAATTCAGCTGCAAGTCCCCGCTGAGATCGTATTACGCACGTTGTTTGAGAGTCATTACCATTGAAAGTAGCGTCAACCCAGCGCATGCTGAGATGTAGAGAACATAAACGGAGATCAATGCAGTGGCGACGCGATGGGTGCAGCCCCAGATGGCCCATGCTCGTAGTATAACCAAAACTATGTTTTTTGACGTCAATAAAGCGCATTTTGGAGTAAGGAAAGAACCTTACTACGGATTGATTCCCCAGACATGAGTCCAAAAAGAGCGACAAACCACCTGAAATAAATGCAAAACTGGTATATCGCAGGGCTTAAGTGTCCTTGAACATCTGGGAACGGGCTGGGAAATCACCCTTGGGGAGCTGGTACTGAAGAGGTCGAGTTGCTGGAGCGTATACAGGGATTGTCCGACCAAGTTGCCATAGCGGTTTAAAAGAAAGATGATCTTTACCGCGGTCCATCGTGAGTTCCAAATGTAGTTCAGCTTAAAGCCCGCTCTCAGAAAGGGCGCCCTATGAAGGAGCAAAGCACGTACTTCATAATTGAAAGTGAGAAAGTAATCGTAAACCAGTAAACTCTGGCCTCCAACAGCAACGAGTCTGGCTTGATTCAATCAACGGTGGGGAAACCAGGATGAAAGTGAAGGGTACTCACTGGCGGATGAACAACCTACTCAGATTTTGTTTGGAAGATTCCATCTTGAAGGAGAAAGAGCCGAGGCGAATAGTTTTAGTCGTACATCGTACCCGGCGAGTTAAAATAGGTGCTGAGCTACCATCGCAGGGCTCAGTCTGTGACGAATTACATATGTAGGCAGCTTAATCTCCGACGTGAAATGAATCATGTGGCTCTCGTGGCATGCAGATATCGGATAATATGTCATGACGCCCCAAGTTGGCGTATATTTGAACGGTCGCTCAGTGACATTAATTAATGTTTTGGATGCGGATGCTGGTCGTGTCACCACTCACCACTCAGTGGTAGAGTTACCACAACAACCCATGCCTAATGTAAGAACGAATCTGGAACGAAGGGTCTTGATCTTCGAGAGAGACGTACATTTGGAAAGGATTCAAAGGCGTCGTACCAGTACTTTGGAACATTGTAGTCTGATCAGGGCAGCAAGGTAACCTTGCATATTTATATTTTGCAACATTCAAGCTGAAACGTGGCGCTCAGCCGAGCGCCCTTGGCTAGTACTAAATAGGCTAATACTTAAACATTGTGACTTACTCGGTATCGTATTTAAAAGTCACTCCGATGGAAAACACGAGAACCATCCCTGTTCGCTCTCGACTCGGAGTCTCTAGTCGTAGTGTGATCAACTTGTTCACTGAGGCCAGACTCTGGGCTTGTCTGAGTCCGACCCCTGTCTCAGCTAAGTGTGCCCCTGACCTGTCCAGAAAACAGTCGTCATGGACAGTCGCGTCGCGTCGCAGCCTCGTGCGCGTCCAGCCCTACAGGGTCCTGTTGGCAATTTGAAATTGCTATGTCACCTTCGGAAAACACTACACAGGTGGTAAAAGAAGTTTGTAGGACGAT